AGGGAGGTATCTACGAGGGTGGAGAAATGCCCTAATGCAATAACAAGATTTAGAAGACAGAAAACCAATCAAAAGAGGCAAGTTTCAAATGTTTTTGCCAGGTTGAAGCTGGGAGTATTTGGAGTAGGATTAAAAAAGAAAGGGATAAAGTTTAAGTTGAGCATTTCATCAGTTGGTTGTTTGGGTTCAGGATGTTTTTCCTATGTATTTTTCTTGCAGGATTTGGAGGGTCTGGGATTTTCAGCCTTTTGTTTGTTTTAGTTGTTCTAGGGGATGATGGAAGGGACCTCTGTGATATTTGTTGTGATTTTTGTAGTTGTATATGGTTTTGTTTCTGAAGGTGTTTTGTTTGGTCTGTAGGGTTAATTCTCTGTTTAAGGGGCTTTTGTTAGGGCAGGCCTGTTGTATTTTGGGTCCTTTCTTTCTGGGAGATTTCTTATCACCCTGCTGTGTCCTCCCTTTCCTTTTTCTCTTATAAAGTTTTATTTTTTTTATTTATCTTAAAAAAAAAGTCCAATGGTAAAATGGACAGCAAATAGTATGGCTGATGCATTAGCTAAAGCAAGTGGTAGAAAGGTATCAATTGTTTTGGGCCCAGTTGTAATATGAACATGTAAGGGGTGGGGTATGATGTATACTCCCAAGGGTGTATGAAGTATTATACATACATATTTTTTACTGTTTGTAATTAATAAAAGTTTCTGTTCATTATCAAAAAATATTTATCTTGAGATTTTGGGAAGAGTACTTAAACCTCCCCTCTGCAATCTGACAAATACCAGAACGGACCTTCTGTTTTCTGAAATGACTCCGACATACCTCCTTACTGGGTTATGTCATAAGGTAAATACTGCCTTTCTGTTAGTGGTTCAGTATGTTTTCTGCACATGCAATATCATGCAGTGCCTTAATTCTTTTAAAAACCCAAGTTTGCCCTTTTATAGTTGAAAATCCTTTGATTGTTTCTTCACAATTCAAAAACTTATTTCATTTACTACCAAAACTCCCTCTGAAACAACTGATTGGAAAAAAAAACCTTCCCCTGAAACATGTAAATTCCGTGTAAGGTGCATAACACTTTGAAAGCGTCCTTCATTAAATACAAGAATATTCACATAAATACATATTTTTACATGTATGCTCTGTTTTATGTGTTCATAATAGAATTCTATTTCGGGCCTGGGTTTGCTATGATCTTTGATCCATCCATCTCTCTTTGGCTCTTTCCCTAAATTTATTGGCACATTAGTGATGCAAGGGAGAAGCAACCTTGCAACAACAAATCTGTGGAACTTACAGTTTGATATTTGCTTTCAATATATACTGCAGTCAGATTAATATGTCATTTGTGTTACAGAAGCAAAGAAAATCTAGGGCTTACATCTTGATAAAATTTACTGTTTGTTCCATGTTCACTTGAGCCCATATATCTAGTGCTGGTGCTGTTTCCATACCTGTCCAAAAGCAAACATTAAGGATAAGATCTTGGAAGAATTCTAAATCCTTGAAGGTTCTATTGGCACAGAAGTGGATTTTGGTGGGTCTTCAATATAAAAGCAAATCAGAAAGTGAATACGGTGGGGATTGGAAAACTCGTTCAGTTAAGAGTTGTTTTGTAAAATTGAAATGAATGGCGTAATTCTCTACAGAGGATGCAACAGATTTTGAAGCTGCATATTCAGCTCTACTCAAGAAAGCTATACCCCAATTTATGGGTTTCATGTCCTAATTAAATAAAATATGCTTCATTCATATGGTACACCACCTTTGCTCGTCAACTTTTGAGACGGTAAAAATCCAAACAAGGCGAAGAAGGCTAGCTAAACTCTTTCTCTGTCGAAGCAGTTGATGAATTCAAAGGGTTTAATGAGCAGCTGCTAACACGGTTGTAGGGCTGTTCATAAGAAGGCCCAACCCAACCAAATGAACCCAACCCGATCGGCTGGGTTTTCATCAGCATGGGTTGGTTTCGGGTTGTGCAAATTCCTAAACCGATGATTCGCCGACCCGAACCGAACCAACTTAGTTCTTAGTTCAAACATGAAGTTTCAAAGCCCATTAGGCCACTTAGTTTTTGAATGGTTGCAAGAAACTTTGGATTAGTGAATATTGATTAATGAACAACTTTTGTGATTAAATTTTAATTTAAATTTTATCATAGGAGATGGCTGAAATGATGTTCAATTTATGACTGTTTTTAAAATTAGCAAGATTTTATCACAGGGATGAACTTAGAACCGAAACCGACCCAACCCGACTCAAACCGACCAGGTTGGTTTTGCTTAACACTGGGTCGGTTTCGGTTTCTATGTCAGGTAACCCGACCAGGTTGGGTCGGTTGGAAAAACCACAGTAAACCGACCCAACCCGACCCGTGAACAGCCCTACACGGTTGTCACTTTCGATCTGAACCTCAGTGTCGATGGGTAGTATTTGTCTTTTGGGTAAATTACAAAGACCCCCCTGTATTATGGGTTTGTGACCAAGACCCTTTGTACTTTGTTTTGCGACAAAGATCCCCTTGTACTATGACCGTGAGACAAAGACCCCCTTCTGTTAGCCTTCTGTTCAAAAAGACCATTACAATATTTTTTAATCCCCATACTATCCTTATAAATACTGTTCATCTTCTCCGATCTTCCTTTACATTTCTCTCTCTCTCTCTCTCTTTGCTCTATCTCTCTCCCGATCTCTCTTTTCATCCTTCTTTGCCCTCGAGCTGCAACAAACATCATAATATAACGATCAGTATTGACTAGATATGTAATCTCTTGTAGAGAGTCAAAGAGAACCTTCCCCTCCCCCTTTGGGAAGGGAACCATCTACAGTGAGTTGAATCACCTTACCATGGAGGAAGGCGGCAAGACTCCTTGTAGACATGAAATCAAAGACGAGAAGCTTTTGGATCCTAAATAATATATATGCCCTCGGTGCCAAGAGATTGGGGTGACGAATCTTGCCCAGGGTGTTAACCTCAACCTTGAACTCTCTCTGAGTCTTGGCCCCTTCATCTCTTCTTTCTCTTTGAACATTGTTCCATTGTTCCGACAACTTGTTGATGGCCCTTTCAGAGCTCCACCTCCAGCTCCCTGCATAGAAATGGCCACTATTTGTTCCTTCTTAAACAAATTCGTCGTTCTGGTTCTCCTTCTTGTCTATTTGGGTTGCTTCATTTTCACCATCACAGACGGTCCCTCACCGAAAAAGCAAAAGGGGGAGATTTTCATCACCAGTTGATACTGATTGTTATATTATGATGTATGTTGCAACTCGAGGGCCTGATCATAATAGAGAGAGAGAGAGAGAAATGTGAAAAAAGGTCGGGAAAGATGAACATTATATAAGGGTAGTATGGGGATTAAAAAATATTGTAACGGTCCTTTTGGACAGAAGGGGGTCTTTGTCTCATGATCATAATAGAAAGGGATCTTTATCACAAAACAAAGTACAGGGGGTTTTTGTCACAGATCCCATACTACGGGGGGTCTTTGTAATTTACCCAATAAAATAACAAGCGGAATATGTATCTCACTGAAAACTGAACCATCTCAGAAATTTTAACTTCATCGTATACTCACAACAACTCAAAACATTTCCAATTAAGAAATTTAATTATGTAAAAAAAATCATTCATGGATCTAGAATTTAATAAAGTTATTAATTGTATTTCGTGAGGTAGAGACGTAGAGTGGTAATGGAAAAATTTTTTGGCCACTTTTTGGGAGAGGACATGTTGGTTTTTGTTGCTTCAGAATCCAAACCAGATCAATCCACTTTTCCCCGACCCAAATCCAGCAATTCTGTGGTTTCTTTTGGATTTATTGGATTCATACATACAATACAACGATATCTCTAGTCACTCACGGTCACGGAAACCAAAGCAAAGCAAAATCACTAGTTTTCTACCATGAGCCACACCAATGAGAGTGAAACCAGTCCTGCAATCCAATATAGAGCATAAAAGCTAGCTGGCCAACAACGGAAGAACGAACCACGAACCAACTCGTTTATTCAAAACCGGTCAACATGCAAGACCGGTCCTCTTGCCCTATATAAAAAACTCGGACCGTTCGAGGCTACAAGTTTAACCACCTCTTTGCTCCTTCCAGGATTTCCATGGCGAAACCCTAGAAACTTCCCCACTACATCCAAATATCCAATCCATTCCACCTAGCTTCCATTTCCCACTTCCTTCTCAGGTTCGCTTCTTACTTTTACCCTCCAGGAACATTAACATCTCATCACTCTTATCAACCTCTCACTGTCTAGGGTTTTGTTTCCTCAAGCTAGGGTTTCTGTTTCCTTTCTTACATCCATGGCGGAACACTTGGCTTCGATCTTCGGCACCGAGAAGGACCGGGTGAACTGCCCCTTCTACTTTAAGATCGGCGCGTGTCGCCACGGCGATCGTTGCTCTCGTCTCCACAACCGCCCCACGATTTCCCCCACTCTCCTCCTGTCCAACATGTACCAGAGGCCCGACATGATCACCCCCGGCGTCGATGCACAGGGCCAGCCCATCGACCCCAAGAAGATCCAGGAACACTTCGAGGA